ACTACCGCGAAGTAATGGCTTACAAACTAATGTGCGCAGCAATCAGTTGGCGGACAACGATGATATCCTCTGGGTCTCATCGGAAGTCGGAATCCGAGAACTCACGGGAAAGGACGCCATTGGTTCATTTACGAGATGAAATTGCGCCATGCCAGACCTCCGAAACTTTGAACTCGAAAAATTCCCGGTTTGGGTAATTTTCTAGACGGTGGGATGAAGAATATGTCAAGATGTCGAGCTCAACGTGTGCACTCGGAGGCCGTAACAACCGGCGACCGAGAACTAATATCCACAACTCGGAAAAGTGGTAGTTGATGAACCTGGTCAAAAGAACTGTAGAGGTATCGTTCTCATACGCCGTCAGAGAAGGGGAAACCTTCGATGGTGGTATATATACATACCTTTGATACGATGCTCCCCGACCAGTACTCCAAGTAATCTCATTTATACGAGAGACAACAAGGAGCCTCACTTACAAGTCTATTCGGAAAATCAAGATGACCAATGCTAATGTCACCATCGTCGGAGTCGGCAACATCGGTGCCGCCATGGTCAGCACCTGGCTTGACTCTGGGTTGAAGGTAGCAATGTGGAACCGCAACATCGATCGACCAAAAATCGCCAAGCTTGTGGAAAGGGGTGCAATGCTTGAGCCAAACCTCATCGAAGCAATACGTTGTAGCGACACAATTGTCTTATGCGTCTCAACTTACGATAACATCGGCGAAGTTCTATCGCCCATTCTGCCCCTCAAAGGAACCGAGAGAAGCATCACGGTCATCAACATTACCACCGGCACGTCCGAGCAAGCCCGGCAAATGGAGACACGTCTTAAATCCAACGGCATTGCTAAATATTTTGACGGCGCAATCATGGTCACTCCCGAGCTTATTGGCACGATCCACTCGTCCATGTTCTTCAGCGGAGAAAACGAAGCCGAATTCGAAAGAATCTCGGGGATTCTCAGGCCACTTGGAAGCTCTCATTATGTCGCCCAAGACTCCGGCGCAGCAAGCCTCTGGGATGTTGCGGCCCTTGCAGCCATGTACGGCATGTATTCCGGAGCAATTGTTGCGCTGAATGTGCTCAAGCGGCAGCGGCCCGATGATGCGACGGCAGAGTCACCATCGACTGAAGTCCCGATGAAGAAGATTGTGCTCCCTCTCCTCTCAACACTTCTGCCGCACCTAGTCAATCTGTCAAGAGCCTTGGATAAGGAGGACTGGAACGAGAACTTTGGAAATCCGGCCTCGATGCAGTTGAAGGGGTTGCAGACCATCTTGACAACCTTGCGGGAGGAGAAGGTCAACGCGGACGGACTCGAGTTGTTTTACCGAATGATGCAGCGAGTGGTGCAAGACAAAGGCGAGGATGCGGGATTAGCTGTCATGGGAACCTATTTACTAGAACAAATAGAAATACTGCAATTTAACGAATGTTGAGTCGCATGCCCGATGTTTGGTTGGAATTGGCATCGTGTGCCCTGATGTATTGGTGAAGGCGCAGCCGGAGTGGGCAACTGTTGTCATCGCTAGGGCGACTCAACACAGGATGAAAGTCGCCAAACCGGCATTTCGAAAGTCAAATCCTGCGATGTTCACAGAAAATTGTTAAGCTATGTAGCTTCCGCGAATACGAATGCTTCCAGAGTTCAAACTGAACCGAGCCCGACAGCGTTAGACGACAAACATGACCCAAATCTCTATGAAACGTTGCGTTTTTGTGCTCAAAATCAACTGAGATTTCAAGGTATGCTAAAAGATTTTACTATTTCTTTGTTTTGTTTTGGGGGCGACGGAGTTTGTGGTTTCAGTATGCTTGGATGGGCGCAAGTGAGATTCTGACTGTGTGGGTGAAAGCCCCCTTACTTTGATGATGATTAGGACATCGCTCTCTAACTCGTTTATCAGTAGTATACTCACCTTTACGTCATTCCTTTTATACCGCGAGTGTTTCAATGCGATTATTTGAGTTGCTGCTTCTCTTGCAAGCGAGACCAATATCGGTTTGGACATACATTTGAGCCAAACAAAACATACGGTTGGAAGCCCTGCGTGCATTTCAGTGAAATCGCTGGAATGTGCTTCTTTCATGCACGTTGGCATTCGCCCTAGCACACTTGCCCTATTTCTAATTCCTGACAAGCTCCCGGAACTTGGTGTGCTTGCTTTGGGTCGTTGTCTAGTGACTCATTCCAATTTCATTCATATCCGAGCAACTATTAATGAGCAGGTAGTGTTTAAGGTGACTGACACAATGGAGGTAGACAATGAAATTGTAGACCACGGGGATGAAACGACGAGTTGAAGTTTAGTGGCATGAAGCTTGGCTCGCCATTCCATTTCCTTGATATTTGAGATGTTGGCAGGAGTATATCACCACCAGATTCCAGCCATGCTCTCTTTCTATCAAGATCTTAATGCCACAATGGAACACACTACTTTTCTGCGGGCTTGACATCACAACCATGGCTTCATTATGATTGGTCCTTCTCATTCACTCGTTGGGCTAATCCTTGTATCAGAAGTGAGTCCAACGTGTCTAATCATACGTTGATTTCCACGCCCGCCTGAAAACAAGAATATGGCTACTTCTGTGGCATGAAGGTGTCATAGAATCACACTTACTCAGCTTTCTGAATCTGTCTTTAGTTGTTACTCTAGGCGTACTTACGAGAATACCTTCAATTTGGCTGCTTGGCATCATCTTGAAGCCATTAAGTTCGATTCTTATGTCGTTCGACGCACTTTAGTATCTTTATTTGCCCCAGACCGCCAACAGAGAGATCTCTGGACCTTGTCTATACGTCTCATGTCTGCATTCTAAGTTAACTGATCTCATATTGAACATAAAGTAGAACATATGCGTCCATTTACTTTTTTGTTTGAACTCTTACGATCGGCCGGGTATACTAATTCAATTTTATAATGGGATGAAGTCGGGCCCTATATCATAGCTACTCGATGATCAGGATTCTTCTGGGGCAGTAGGGGTGTCAGGGATTTGGAGAGCGCCAGGCTTTGATACGAATCGTGAGAGACGACGGGAAAAACCACCCAAAAAAAATGACCCCAAAAACTTCAAACTTATTAGGAAGATTACAGTTGAGAAATCTGAGATTTCTGAGCCATTTCTGAAGTACCAGAATCTCACAGACTGTGGTCGCCAGAAGTTTCTACAAGGCCCTTCGGAATCACCTTCTGGAGATGGAATGCCGACAGAATATTCTAGGAGCCCAAGAGTGTATTGGTTTAGGAACCTGACGTCGGTTAGCAATTCATATTTGAGGTGCGGTAAAAGGGAGGGCGAGCAGAAGCACCACAACAAAATTCTTGGTTTTCTTCATCTATGAAATTTCGAGCGATTTGCATTTTCTTCTTGTCAGTAAACCCTCATAGTCGATACATCTATTATGCCAAAACGGAAGCAGGGCATGCATAAGTTTAACAGAAGGCCATCGTTGTTGATACTAAAGCAGACTGGAATGGCGAGATTGACTGATCTCTGTGGGAGTAGGGGGAGACGATGCTTCTAACACTTGAGCCGAAAACCTGTAGACGGGTTTCCCAGTAACAGCCCAATGACCTCCTGCCTAGCTTTTCCTCCCATCTCGCGCCTGCCAAACGAATCTCAGCTTTACCTCACCTTGCCCGCTAGCTTTATGAAAGGTAGGTTCTCCACAATCACATTCCCCTCTCTTCCCTTTTCCCTCTCCAACCTCAAAGCATCACACTTTTGACAATCTCATCTTCTCAACAGCCCAGGGCCTCATAAAGGTATGCACTTCATGTCGCGCCCCCAAATTTCCACTTTTCAATCTAACAAACATTTCAACTAGACAAAAGTCATGGACTCACGCGCACGTGCTGCCTTCATGGAGCGTGTGAACAATGCAACTTTTGAGGAATGCATTAGGGGTTCACGAGAGGAAGCCTCTGCCGCGGGAAGCGCCTCAGAGCGCGCTGTTATCTGGCAACAAAGAGGAATAGAGTTCAACAACGAGATAACAAGACGACAACGCGCCATTGCTAGCGAGATGAGCCACAATACTCAGCGTGCAATTGCAGCCGCACGCCGGGCCCAGGAGGGTCACTCCAACCTTGCTCCTACCGCTGGCTTGGCCCCCGCTCAAGCTCCTGATACCGCATCGAATGCCATCAGCAGCAATCTCAGTGTGGCCCAACTCTCTGTCAACGCTACAGCTCTACTTGCTGCCATCCCTGCCCATCTCCAAGCTGAGGCTGCTGCGTCCTGCGCTGCTCATCTTGCCGACCTCGATACCAAGGCAGCTGCGGCTTCAGCTGAAGCTGCAAAGTCTCCCACGGATGCAGACCTTGCCTCTAAGGCAAAGGTGGCCAATGAAAGGGCCAAGAGAGCCCACCAACGCGCGAAGCTTTCCACCAAGGTCTGTGTACACTGCCACGACAAATATTCGTTCAACGATACCCTGCGCCGCCACCTCAAAGACATTCATTACAAAACTCTGGAGCCATACTGCAACCTTTCTCGGGCTGATCAGAATGCCGTCGCTGCCGCCGAGGCCCCCCGAGCATATAGGTGGAGAGGGGTACACGGATGGTTGGACAAAGCACTATGCTCTTTGCGGTCGTTGAGCACAATAAAGAACATTCTCAGGCACTTTCGCCCTGAGTCGCGACAATACAGCGTCTCTTTTACAGATAGCCACACCTAATAAAATCAATTTGCAACAGTGATTCTGAGTTCTTTGGTCCGATGTGTATTTCCGCATTTGAGTCTACTTCTACTTTTGTGTTATTTGTAGCCAAAACAAAAAACCACTAAAAGCTTTCATAGGGAGCAAGCAATAACCGTTAGATCCATGAAGCTTCTGGAGTCATAGGATTTAGCAGTTATACGCCTAGTAAATAAATTTAAACATCTCACACACAGAATCAGGAGAAGCTTCTTGCCAATGCTAGAAGACACTGTTGGTGCTGATGCTTTCTAAAACGCAAACAATAATCTGCATCCTCGCACCCTTATTTCTTGTACTTAGGAGAGACCTCTGCCATCTGCCTCTTGTGCTCTCCCTTCTCCACCATGTCCTTGATAGCCTCGTCGGCAACCTTCATGGCCTGAACTCCAGCCGGTGCTCCACAGTACACAGTAGCCTGAAGAATTGCCTCCTGAATCTCGACTTCAGTGAGTCCATTTCTGATGGCTCCTCGAATATGAATGCCAAACTCAGCCCAGCTCTTCAATGCAATGAGCATTCCGATATCTACAGATGGTTAGCGACAGCTTTCAACTGGGTCTCGAGTCGCTCACTTAACAGGCTTCGCTGCTTGCGCTCCAGGCCTGGGCGGGACCAAATGTTTCCCCAAGCCCATCTTTTAAACACGCATCAGCTCAATAAAACGAAAATGACATTCTGGAGCGGCCTCTTACTCGGTGATGAGCTCCTGCTGGGCAAAAGCAAACTCGCTGGAGCCATTTCGCATGGCATTATCGACGTAGCTTTCCCCTACTACCTCACGGCGGTTCTTCAAGCCCTGCTCCCACAACTCCCCACGTAGCTTATCGGTGTTCTCGGACGACATATTGCTGATTGGTATCTAGTCTGTTTCTGCAATGAGGAGGGGCTTACGGTCCGTCGAGAGATGGTTTTGGGGGTTGTAGAAAAGCTGATGTGAAAATGGGCATGAAATAGAAGAAACTTATTATTATTCCGGATTCGGCACAGCCACGTGCTAATTGAGGGGTCATTTGGGACCTTAGCTGGAGAGAGTTTTGGCGTTCCGATCCGCAACCGGGGGAAAATTGTACATCCCGCGTTACCCCGATGTTCCGCACGGAAATGTGGGACTATCCCGATGGTATTCCGAAAAGAATGCAATCAGTTTAAATTAAACGATTTTATCATACAATGAAGTCACAAGTTGGAGTATGTGACACAGTGATATGCATTTCAACTTCTGCTGCAATTGATCGCCTGGTTTTATTTCTCCAATGTGCTTGACTACCTCGCTATCTGACGTTGTTTAGAATACTCGGTCTCTTTTCTTGAACAAGACTTCAAAGCTACCAACCTCCAATGACAGCTTTCCGTTTCGCTTCTAAACTCTCTTCCACATAATACACTCTATGCATTTAATATTGCTTGAGTTTCTTAATTCCTGACACTCGCAGATGCATCGTGGAGGATCATGAGACCATGAGCTGATCGATTGACCGTCCTTATATCTCCTGGGTTGCTCAGTAAAATCCTGTTCAACAATCCAGTCTTTGGTGTGAATTGATATGGGTTCCATAGATGTTCGATACCCGAGGTCTCCGAATATCGCATGGGATACAAGCACAACATTAGGGGTATTTTATCAATCGGGCGATTTATGAGGACATTAAGAGACAGGGCTGCAGGTATCTACAGCCTTTAGCATGTTATTAACAGACGAAGATTTTGATCGACGTATTGACCTTTCAAACCTGTCTCATGTCACGTTCGGGGTATCGAGAAACGTTGTATGGTCGAGTTGAGCCATCCTCACAGTTGGCACTCGACTAGTATTGCAGCATCACTCCAGTAACAGCGCAACTGCAAATTTACTTGCCGTGGCTGAAAAGGTTGCCATGATGCTTTATGTCTGGCTCGAGTATAAACGCGTATTGTATTTAATACATGCGGCTGACGACTGCTTCATTCATCTGAATCGCGGCGGCCCACGAGCTTAAGTTGTCCTTTGACCATTGCTGGCTGCCCTACATGCGGGTTCTCCGGCAAGTGATCCGCCGAACCACTCAACCTGATACACCGTCTCTCTATTTTGGTCGTTACGAACCAGCCCGTTGAGCGCATAGGCCAATTCCATGCTGATCCGCGCCTCAGCCTTGGCTATTCCCTGTAAAAGCCCAGTAGATGGAGCCCTCCCTGACTCAGTAAACGAACGTCGGCTCCCACGCGGCTTCCAGCCAACACGAAACTCCCGATGAGTAAATGTTTTCGTCACATATCCAACAAGCTGTTCGGCACCCACTTGCTGGGGATCAACAGGAACTGGACCACTGGTTTTGCCTGACAGATAGCGCTAGGCCGGAGACATGACGTTGATTTGACAGGTAAACCAGGGCATCAATTTCCGGGATCCCTGGTCTCGGTGGACCCGTCTTATCGTCGCTTCGTATTTGACAGCCTCCGCGCATCCCTCGCTGGTTCCGGGGAATTCATTAATCCCCAGTTTAAGCAACAAGGAAGCCCCAAACGATTGAGCTTCAAAAGATCCGGATGTCCGCCCTTGTCGCGTGCGGCTGAGGTGTCTTCTCTTGCCATTTTTTCACCTCTCACCTCATCCGCCGAACACCGCTGCCGCCGTCCGACAGTTCGCCGTATCCAAGATGGTCTCAAGTCTCTCAGCGGCGCTCGCCCTAGTCTCCACATTGCCATGGGCCTCGGCTGCCTCGGTGGCCACGCGTCAATCTACGGGCGACGGCGAATGTCGCGACGTCCATGTCTTCCTCGCCCGCGGGAATAACGAGCCATATCCGGGTCGTCAGGGAAAGCTCGTCACAGCCATTTGCGACGGGCTCGGTAGCTGCGATTACGAGGACATTCAATTTTGGAACCCACTGGAGGCACCATACTGCCAGTCTGTAGAGGAGGGTGCCGCGAACGGCACTGCACAGGTCACCGCGTACAACAAGCGGTGTCCGGACTCGAAGTTGGTGTTGAGTGGGTACTCACAGGGAGGTCATGTCATCGGCGATATCCTGGGTGGTGGAGGTGGCACGTTCTTCCAGGGTTGCCAGCAGCCCCCGAACGCTGGTCTTGACGCGACGAAAGCTCCTGGAAACAAGAGTGAGTTACGATGGTTAGCATGTTTGGACTTAGGAAACTGACGTTTCAACCCCAGTCTCTGCGGTGTTGATCTTTGGTGATGTTCGACACACCGCCAGCCAGCCGTACAACTACGAGTCGGGATCCGGGGCTAACGGCCTCTTCCCCCGTCCGGATGACCAGCTCGCTGGCATGAAGGCCTACGCTGGTTTCTTCCGCTCGTACTGCGTGGAGTCCGACCCGATCTGTGCCGGTGGCGACACGGCCGCCAACCATCTCAACTACTTCGACATCTACTCTGGCAGTGCTGGGAAATGGGTTCAAGAGGTCGTTGGGGCCCAGACGACCAGCTCTTCTACGAAATCATCAGCAACCTCGACCAAAGCCTCATCAGCCTCTGCTAGCGCTTCCGCGAGCGCCACGACAGAGATCACCTCCGCTGCACCGACCACGGAAGCTGCATCAACCGGAGGATCTACCCCAGCCCCAACATCCGATAATGCGGCGGCTTCTTCAACCCCTACGGGCGCCAGCGCAGCCGGCGCTTTGGATTACAACAAGATGCTTCTCAGCCTGGCCGTTGTCGCTGGATTGATGATCGCCTGCTAGACGACAACGCAATTATTTATGACCACGATAGATCAACGTCACAACATGGAAGCATTGACCGCTTGTTTTTGAATACCCCGAAGCGACATATCACGAAGGACAAATAATCACACGACATTGAACATAATGAGCACATACTGGCGCAGAAGGATCTTTTGAAAGAACCATAAATGCCATAATTCTGCTCTGGGGTCATCAAGCCTCACGGCAGCATCCCAGTGCCCAGTTCCTATCCAATCTCGGCATCAGAAAACACGATGGAGGCGTAGGTGGCTTTGTAGAAGAAAAGAAAAACAATCCAAACTTTATCTCAGTCAAACATCCGTTTTCTGACTTTGATGTCGTCGACCTAAAAGCGTTCCGTTCAAGCGACCTACCTCATGAAACTACCTACCTCCGAGCGATATTTACCTGCTAGTCTAGCCCGCGCCCGGACAGAAGAGGCCGATTTATATACCAGCATCTAATATTCCCTGTTTGAACTTCAGAATACGTCGGGCGGCGTCCATACTTCTCAAAACAATCGACGGAAGCTGACAGAATGACCACCATTGAAAAGGAGACCAATCTGCGAGAGTCGCGGGTACTGCAGAGTATTGGGATTCCGGACGCCAACGCCGAAGAAGACTTACGCGTACTTTATCAGATCTTTGACCCCCGGAAAGAGTTATGCGAAAGCTGCAAGTATCCTGTCTTCGTCGCAGTTGACATCGGCATCTTCGGTGGTGTTCGTATGGACGGTCTTGCAATCTTAGACACGGCGAAGCTCGGTTCTGCATCCAAACACGGGCTGATATCGACATACAATTTGGTCTCAGACTCCTCAGCATGGGGCTATTACCTCGCAGCGAGGTTCTTTCGGTTTTGGAATCCTACTAAAACGAGGGATCCTGCATCACACATGAAGAAACTCGTACGCGGCGGATGAGAGTCATTCTCGTCCACAACGGCCTGGGATTGCCAGGCTGGCGGAAGTCCTTGGACCATGGCAAATCCAGTTGTTGTCTCAACACACTCCAGCTTACTCGCCAGATATTCGGCTCTCTTGGCTCCCCTAGCGAACTTAGACCGCAACTGCCAACTACCATAGGGAACGCTGGGAACAATGCTAACGTCACGCTGAGGCACCTTTTGCATCTAGGAATGGAGATCACTCAAAACAACACTCAGACAAAGAGAATGGACATGCTTGAGCAGGCAGCGCTGTTTCCCGGATACACGCCAGAAAAGTCGCCGGCCGAGGCGGCAATGCTCAAGGAAGAACTCGATCAAGGCTTGTTGGCTGAAGAAAGGGAGAGAAAAATCAAGACAACAGCAGAACGCTTTAAAAGCCGCCAGAAAATCCTTGGAGAGATGAGAAGGGAGTTGTCACTCTGCGCAGCGGGGTCGACCAGGTTGGAACCGACCTGGCTTTACTCCTGGAACAGCATAACGTCGGACCGGAACCTCACGACCTCATGTGCAAATGAATAATCAGAACGTTCGAATTGTATTTCAGCCTCCACCTACCCACAGCTATGTATGCTTAGGACCAACATTGATCCGTCCTCAGCCTTTTGAAGTAATTACTTGCACAGAGCTTCTTGCCCGTCAAGCTCTTCAGAAATCTGCATCAAGGTAATTGCTTGTTCTGAGTCGTGACTTACTACTGCAACCCACATCATTCCTGCGGACAGCCGAGGCCCTTGATTTTCAGGAGGTCAAGCTCCGGGCCGAGCTTCTCAATATTGCAGAGTTCATCCTTCTTCCCGTCAAACACAGAATGCAAGGCGGTCCTCACGATGTCAATGGTGAGCTGTCCAGCGCGGTCGCCATCAATAGTACCGAGGAAACCCTGGAGAGCAGCGGTGTAGTCCGGATTCTTCAAAAGTTCCTTGATCGGAGGAAGTTGAGGCGCATCGAGGAACGTCGGGTGCATGGTACCGTTGATCGTGACGATAAGTGCAGGGCCCTGGTGTTTGTCGTACGTTTCATTCCAAGAGGGAACCCCGGGGAAAACTGTCTGGGGCAATACCGGCTGCCCAGCTAGAACAAGGAGCTTGTCGCTACCTTCGGTGGGTACTGGACCGTACATGGCGCCGTCAAAGTTGAGCCCGCCGAGAACACGGTCGTCAGTGAGGATTGTAGCGGCAGAAGTCGCTCCTCCGAGTGAGTGGCCGT